AAAAGCAACCTCTGCCCCTCTACTTGCACTCATGGATCTCCCCCACACACCACACCAAGCCAGCTCTGCTTGCTGGGCTGGCAGAGCGGTACCTCGAGTCATCCCTTTCCCCTCCACATCAAAACCCACTTTCTGTAAGCCTCAGCAAACTGAACCAGACCTCCAGGTAGACAGAGGAGTGCTGAGGAAACAACTTTTACAAAGTGGCAGGTGGCGCTCAGACTGATGGACCTCCGAAATTACACCAGGCTCTTTCAGTGCTTTAGATCAGCCTAAATCCAGGCTGTCGCAGACCTCCTGCCTTTTCTGCCAGCCTCAAGTGACTTGCTTATGAATGCTCTGTAACACACTCAGCCAGGCCAAGGAACTTGTCTGGTTTTATTTTTTCCAATAGGTTATTCTAATAAATCAGTTAGTAAAAAAACATTAAGACAGGCAAAGAATAAAACACTGAAAGTTTTTCGTTTGGCTTTTGTTTAATTGTGTCCCCCCCCCCCCCCCCCCCCCTTCTGGGGGGAGTTGAGGGAAGGGAATTTTAATTCAGGATTTAAATGACAAGTACATAGATTAATGTTTACAGACAGTATCCACATATTTAATTGCAAGTTGCTTTCAAAAGATTCATTATTGCAACACAATTTAGTATGAGACTTGTACTGAAACAACTCCCATCTCAACATACTTTCAGCATCAGCTAAGTGGTCAGGAAAATGAAGATCCAGCAATAATAAAAGACTGGTCATCCCACAGACTAGAAACAGCTTTATAGATCTGTAACTATCTATGAGATTTTTTAATATATATATTTAATTTGACACATGTATTTTATATGTATTTTGTGTGTATATATATTTTAAAGATTATTATTAATTCAATGGCTGTGATACATGGCTAGACATAAGCACACAGTGAAAAATAGTGGACTTCATCCTGAAGTTTAAATCATGAAGTTTGAGCACTTGCAAGAAGTTCACCAACCTCAGGAAAAAAAGTTACTTCAACCTTGAAAATATATATTTACTTTTTTTAAGCAACAGACCCATTGAAGTACATGATAAAAAAGCAGTCCTTGCCTGAACAACAATGTGCCTATTACACTTCTGCTGCTTTCTAGAGGAGGATTTTAAGCCTGGAGTCCACAGACTGCTTCTACAAGGACTGCAAAAGATAGCAAAAGATAAGGTTTCTCGAAGTAGCCAAGTAGATCTACCAGTTTGCCACCACGAAACAGAGTCAGCTCAACTTCTTGATGCCCTAAAATTCCCCACCTTGCACCCTTCTTCTATATGGTGCCAACTGTGGACGATACTTGCACCTCTTAACTGAGGCAGTGGAACAAGCTGAGCAATAACTCCTTGCTGAGTTATTTCTCACCTGATGTAGCAATCTTGAGATGGATTACTCGAGTCAGAAGAGCACTAAAGCATGCAAAAGCAGATGCTGTGAGGTCCCACAGCAGTTTATGCCACCTTATCTCTGGATTACCACAGTCCTGTGCTCCTCTCGCTATGAGCTGCTCGTTTTCCTATTCCTCCCCTTGGTATGAAGCTTGTCACTAGTAAAACATGGTCACCCAGTTGAAACAACTGACCTAGTTGTGAAATTAATTTTTTTACCAAGCTATTTTTCAACCAGATCAGCTACTTCAGTGACTTACTGTACAGCCTTATGACTTCCACCGCTCATGCAAGAACAACCAGACTGCACAGCTACAGGCAGGAGGGACAGTTAAGATCTTACATTGTATACCTTATACATTGGTATAAATTACTGCAGAGTCATGTTCCTATGAAAATAAAACACATTTTTATTTGAATTCATGGCTCCAGGGCCACTGGAACATTTCACATAGTATGAAATTCAGGTAGATTTGAAAACCACTTGTCTACTGTGGAGTTTTGAGTTACTGCTAGTGAGCGAGCTCTTTTTTTCTTCTTAATTCTGCAGACACATAGCATTAAAATTGCTTCCAGCTACAAGCAAATGTTAATTATATTAAATACAGACATCATTCACTTAGAAAGTAAAATTGCATTGTGAATTAAGCATCAAAAAGAGCCAGTATCTGTGCAAGCTCTTTTATTACTATCTAAACACTCTCCAGATCGGTCAGCTGGCAATGATAAAAACGCTGGCAGCAATCTTGCACACTATAGTTACTCTTTAGTGCTAAAGTTGAGTTTTTCACTGAAACTAGCGATACCAACAACATGGCTATGTAACATTTTGGTCTAGCCTTTGAAAAGTTATGTAAACAACATCTGTAAGAGGGAAGTAACGCATACATAGAAAAAAAAATACTGTTTATCAATTTTATGATGCCTTTTAAACAGCCTACAGCCAATAGGTATAGAATGTTCTGAAAAAAAGGAAATTTGCTGTTTCCTTTTTTACACTCAAGTCCACACCCAGGAAAAATTACTCTGAAATTTCTGCACCCTAATTTCTCATACAGATCGGTATTTGCATAGAAGTTATAAAAACACCACAAAAAATTATTCCCTATTTTGAACTGTACAGTAAAAGCAAAGAATAAATGTTATCTCCCAAAATGTTACAGTTAGAGATGTTTTGAAAACGCACACAGGTTACATTCATGCAAAACTGACAGACAGATTTTTAATCTACTCTAACACAAAACCAGCAAATTGACATTTCAGAAACTGTCAAGCCTTTTGTTTTATGCAGATGAGCTATAGCATGCCTTTCAGCATCGGGACAATCTTTAGTTAATAACAGAAAGTGAACACATTAATATGCACTAAATACAACCACGCAAAAACCACAAAATGAAGCTCAGAGAAAGTAATTATGGACTTTATCCTCTGCCCACCAAAACTAATTTCCTAATACATGAGAAAATAAAGCATCAGTGTAATGAGAAAAAAAACCCCCAAAACCAACAGCCAGAACACACTGGCAGCACATAATCAACCTTGCTTACCCTAGTCAATCCTGTAGATGATGATAACAGATTGCCTCATTTCTCCTTTTTATTATCAGAAGAGGGAGCATTTGACTTGCTGACTGGACAAGCACCAAGACTTGAGCCATTCAGTTAGCAAAGATGGACTAAGAATATGCGAAGTCATCTCAATGCAAAATTTCATGATAATCAACTACTAAAATGTGTCATCTTTTGACCCCCAGGAGAGCACTTTTTGTTTAACATCCGAAAGATTACATTCTTTTGTATTTATCTCCACTTCAGAAATAGGCTTTCCTTTTAGCTGTATTCATCTTCACACAAAACTCTTTTACCTAAGATCTGGAAAGCAAGACAGCTGAGGGTCTAGGCACAGCTTGGTTGTTGCCCAACTTAATACTTGAGCAACTGAATCTGCAGAGGATGCTGGTCAAGCTACTAGAATGCCAGGTCCTTCAAATGACCTCCTACACTCCTAACACTCAGGTTACCCTACAACTCACTGGGAGAGCACATTGTGACCCTCTGCTTTAGTGCAGCACAAGGCCACTGGCAGATCACTCCCCAGGGGTCCTGCCAGCCTACAAAGATACAGAGCAGATGATGAGAGATCAAACAACTTCACAGAGTAGCTGGCTGCGCAAGAGGCAGACACGACTTTTGGTGCCACTGCCTGAGGTTAGCACTGTATTAAGACACACTGAACTACAATTCCACCAAAGAAAATTAACAAATCCTAGAATGACAGCTTATGCTCTTTTTTTCCTTTGCAAAAAGGCCCTGCATCCTTAGCTCAATACTTGCTTCTAGGTCAAGGTTATGCCAAACCAGATAGCCCAATCTCAGGTTTGTTTTTCAAAACCTGGATCTCACGGACAAGTATGCACTAATATCCAAGATACTACCTTTGACTCACAATATCACCATTTCTTCAGTGAAATACTGACTCCTTCTAATACAATTATTTTGCTACTCCTTTAAATAACCACAAATCAGTCTTCTTTGCATGAGGCTAAGTTCAGTGTTTCAGTTCAGCCCAATATATAATTATTGCTTTTCATTCTACCACAGAAGTCAAGAAAAGAAGAAAGCTTTCACTTTTTCTGTTCAGCTTCCACATCAAAAGCACATCTACTTGCACAGCTCTAGAGGTTAAAAATTTATTTGTAAATAGCTGTAACATATAATTAACTACATACATTAAGTATTCACATGTAGTTAATGTATACTACACAAAAAATTACAGTTTTATACAATAAGAATCTATATAAACAGTGGCTCTTCTTCCTGCTTATAAACTAGAATGTACCAAAAGCAGAAGTTAAAACTAAGCTAAGTCAAAACTAGGACTACGTTCACCATTAGTGATCTTGTATAAACCAAGAATCAGAAATAAAAGAACAGCAAATATTATGTTGATCTTCAGGGGTGTGTGTGGGGTGTGTGTGTATATAAAATACTGGCATTAGATATTGCGTGTTATAGTTTATGAGCATTTTAAGAAGAATCTGCACTTAAACATGGTCTTACAAATTAGAAGGTTAGAGAAAACTACTGTAAACAGAAAACTAATGACTTGTTGGCAGAACATGAGAACTGCATTAATTTATCAAAGCTACACAAGATGTTTTTCTGTGGGAGAAAGAAAAAAATTAAAAGGATGGTAAGAAGACACCAGTATCTTCTCGCTCTTACTAGCTGTAACAAAGTTAAGATTCCAGCCTCAATTTTGTTACTCAAAGCTTCCCTCTCTAATAAAAACCACAAGAACACCAACAATATTTTTACTGCTGCTGGAAAAGAAAGAAAGCACATGAAAGTGCTTTTAAGGCAGAAACCGTGTTTCATAACCATTTTTGCAGTTGACTGTAAAGAGAAATTGAGAAAGATATAAATAAAAATCACTCATATATTAAAGAGTCTTTACTCAGTGACACCCCAAAGAGGACTACAGGTCAGGTAGGAGTCCTATTACCTTTTCCCAAAGAAAACATTAAATTCTACTATCATTGGGCTGTTTTCCCTACCATGTGCTTGGTTATGTGCAAATTTTGTACTAAATTAGCAACTTTACCATCTCTGTAAACATTTCCAATCTGCTAATAGGAAAGTACGATAATGTAGCAGGTGTATTAACCACCCTGATGAGTCTAAGAAAAAAAAAAAAAAAAAAAAAAAAAAAGAGAAGGAGGTCATTACAAAAATGCAGGACGTTTAATAGCAACATTCTGCTAAAGAGAGCACCCTTAAAATTGAAAGAGAAAGATGTGCTATTTAGTGATATATAACAAGGTGCTCTGTGAATGCAGAATGTCACACTGAAGTCAGAATTTTCACTTTCTCTATATGCCATTCCCAATAGAAGCTCTTTGGCAAGCCTACACACATCTTAAATTGGGTAGAAACTCATACTGCCTGTTAGGAACACAGCTAAAGCATACGACAACTTCTTACGATGAAGTTGTATATACTTGCAACTGGTACTTAAACTACTCATCTACATTGTGGGAGAAAAGAAGGCTTAGTGAAAGGACTCATCATAACTTTATCCTGACATACAGTTTTAACAGTTCAGGCTACCAGGCCATGCCTATGCAGGTCAAATTAGGGGAAAAAGGGAAAAAAGCAAGCAGGAGCAGCAGAATTTGTCTTCCCATTTGTAGGTAAACACAAACCTGACTTTGTCGGCCACCGAAGAGGCCCCGTAACCACAACAACTGACAAGATACTGGTCAATGTTGTGGTCCACTGCAGTTACTGCATGGCAGGTAACATCATTGTTTTCAGAAAGCTGGAAACAGAATACACAACAGAACAGAGCAGCACAGAGCAAGGAGGAACTGCACAGGAAAAAGGAGATGGCATTGGCCACCATAAATGATGTTATTCAGTACTAGAACTAACCAACAAATTTCAATTTTTTGAGACAAAAGGAGCCTTAATTCAGACAGATATTGCCAGTGTCTGTCCAGGAGACAGAGCCACAGAATTTGTTCATCTGTCAGACTCTGTGACACTCCCTCTTGAAAAACAAGCAAACATCCCCTTCAGAAGTAACACCTAACTCTCCCAAAAACTCATTTTCCTGTAAAGCTTCGTATACTAACACATGCTATAAAAAAAACCCCAAAACCCTGTGCACACACACACCAGAACAGAAGACTGAAAAATCTCAAGTCGTCTAACCAGCAGTGTTAAAGCTGCTAATGAGAATGCTACCAATAGTAAGTACCTTCAAAGCAAGGCAAGTTGAGCACGTGGGAACAATTTGTAGGATAGGCAGTATAAAGACAGGGGTAGATGAAAGATAGGAAAACATGGACTTTGCTCCAAGTTTTCTGCTTCCGAGAGAGCAAATTTTCTACAGGACATAGAATATAGCTGATGACTTAAAAATATAGTCATAGGAGAACAGCACACATGCTGGCAAGTACTTTTTAATGACGTTTTTAATAAATCTAACTACATATTACATTTTTAAGATTTAATTTACGTAATTGCTGTATGAGCTCCACTAATAGATCCCAAGAAGCTTAAAAGAAAAAAAGGAAAGTCACTCCCAACAAGGATTCCCTCTCAGAGGGCTGACTGCAACTCCTAAGAATTAAAAGGATGCCAAGTGGACTGGCCATCCTAAAAAAAAAGAAAAAAAAAAAAAAAAAAAAGTTGGATAATATAAATTACTTGAAGTTCTAGAAAAGCAAATAATGGCAGAACAGGCTCAGCTACTGCCAAGCCTGGACTCCTCCTTTTGTGGATCTAACTAATATCTCTCCTAAGTGCCATGTGAGGAGGCATGAGCAATCTTAAAGCTAGCTAGCTTGCCACAGTTAACACGGATTAGGAAAATCCCTGACTGTTAACTTCAGTTTTGCCACATCTCACTGATGATAATAGCCTCTCTCAAATGGAAGGGGTACAAAATGTATTTGCGGAGGAGCAGGGAGGAAGAGGAGGTCAGGTATCCCAGCTACCACCAAAGCCCCATCCAGCCTCCACTCTTCACCCCTCAAAAACCCACTGAACACACCATGCAGTGGGTGCAACTAACAGAGAACAGAAGGCAGCACAGCTCATGTTCACTTCCTATGTGTAACGGTGACATAAGTGAAGGCTGCATCATACATCACAGGCAGGTCTGCACTGAAGAAGTCCAAGCCCCCAGCCACAGGCAGGTGAGAAACAGCAGGAACTCCACGTCTGTTCACAAGAAGGAAAGGGAACAGGGATGGAGCCCATTCCAGAACTGCAGCCTTTGATGATGGCTTACAGAAAGGGTCCCATCAAGAGGAGGTACTTCAACAGCCTGTTTAACAGTAACCCTGTACAATTGCAGTCAGAACGGTTTCGGAAGGCCACACCACCAAGAGCCATGTGGCCTGCTGATCAGAGGGCCAGGAGAACCACCAGCTAAGTGTGCATCGCATCACTCAACTAAATCAAGACTGGGTGGGAAAGTAGGCATAACAACTATTTACAAACAACTGAAGAGCAGTCATACCAGTGGTGGCAAGAGAATTATATTCAGGGCAAAGGGAGAGAACACGTGTCCTCCCCATGTTTGCATCGCTTTCCCCAAGCCTGCCGTTCTGCTACCCAAGTTATCTACTTCCTGAGCCGCTTGCTAGGGTAAGCTCTTTTCAAAACTGCACCATAGTAGAGCTACCCTAAGAGAGGCATAGGGAGGATGGTTAAGAGCAGAGGAATGAAATCATGAAACAGGAAGAAAGAACAGCAGGAAAAGTTTCCGGACAGTTTTTTTTCAGCTGTGGGAATCACTTCCCAAAGGAAGTGGTACAAGATTAACCACTTGAGTCACTTAAAACACAAGACAAAACAGTAAAATTCTGCCCTCACATCAGAAATGCACACACCTTCCAGAGAAACTCGCACCCCTCTGATTCAGTCCTTCACAAGGGTGGACATAACTAGGGATATGATGTAGACTGGATGACTGAACGTACAGAGCAGAATGAACTCCCTGGCTCCACACACAAAGAATACCAGGCTTAACTGCTGACATTTCATTTTAAAATAAGTATGGTTCATTTATCATGTGGCTGGCAAAGAGATACGGCATTTACGAGCTCCAACTTTGATTAAGGTAGGATTTCTGCATGCCTGTCAGGTTTGCACTTTTTAGCTAAAACATCTTTGAAAAGGACAAAAGTTGAAGGTGTTTCCATCCTAAACTTGCCTCGTCTTGCCTGCCTGTTGCCAATGGCTCACTGTTTTTGCAACCCTTATAAATATAGCCTTAAGCAGGCTTGCAAAATGCTGCTTAATCATTTGCCAGAGGCAGGTAACATTTTTTGTGACAGGAGAATGAATCATCAGTTTCATCACCGGGATATATGTGGACAACGAGCATCTTCGCTACGTTTAGAATCTTGTTTATTTTAGTCTCATTTACATCTTTCTAGTAGTGTAATACTTCTAAGAAGAAAAAAAGCTGCCACCAAGTAATCTCATTTCATAATAAAACCTGCTTTTTCTTACCATACCACCATCACCTATCAAATAGTTGTGTCAGGAATGCAGATTATCTAAACCTGTTCTCACATACATAAAGTCCTGCTCCATTTCAACACTTAAGCACACACACAGCATTAGCTATGAGCAGTTCCAATGATCTGAATGGAGACAATGTTTACTCCTGAAGGTTTGTGTGTCTTGGCATGAGGACTGTAGCACCAATGGCAAATCTACCAGAAATCAACAGAAAAAACATTTTCACCCAACGGGTATGTGCACATGTGGTGGCATGAATGGACTGTTGTATTATTCCAAGGACAAATGCAGAAGGGACCAAAACCACTGTTCAACTTTTTCCCATACAGGAAAATAGTCACAAAGACTACCTAATGAGTCTAACAAGCAATCAGACACTTATTCCATAAGATAAAGACATCTGACCTGGGTTAAACAGTGAGTCAGAAAGAATTTCCTATCACTCCATGTTTCCTTCCAACCATCAGTATAGGAAGATGGTAATACTGTGTTCTATTGCTGCAAGTTATTTTAGAAATCTCCATCTGAAACAGACCACAGAGGCCTCGCATTCCCACGTCCACCCCGACACAAGCTTACAGCGAGCTGTAGAGACTCGGGGCCAGCTTCGAGCAAAAACCGCACGGACTGAACGCATCGAGCAGTCAAAACGCGGCACTACAATCACACCATCATTCCAACAGTGCACGCACCCCGCTAGGAATTAGTTACTGTTAACAGACGTGCAGTTCAAAACCCCTAGATACTCAAGTTCCTACACTGGCTCACTCCTTACGACCCCATCCCTGG